GGATATATACAAATTTAAACTAAAATATATGCAAACTAAAAAATCAATCTACCAATAAGTATTGATCCAATATTGATATCATTATCGAAAAGAATAATTAGTTGATATACCATAAAAATCAATCTACAAGCAAGTAAATCTACTGCTGCTCGTTTCCTATCAGCAGCATAAAACCTCTGCAGTAAAGCCTAACTTGTTTGATGTAGCTGTTCGCACATTCAACCGAAGGTTATAACTAGGATAAAATGTTCTCAGTCCATGTATCAGGAACGCCAGGAAGGCACCAGTGCAAGCAATCTTGAACGCCTAGCGTGGCCTTGATACTATTACCGTGATATATGCCCTTGGTCTCTCAGACGTGACAGGGCAGTTACATCCACAAGCTTGATCCTGGTTCCTCTCACTGCACCCTCGGCATCACCATCCTCAGAATGATTGAGGTGAATGCCACTTCCCTTGGCCAAAGGGTTTGTGTTATCACAGGTGCCTCCAATGTTCCACCAGTGACCATACACATCATTGATTGAAACATCTGCCTTCCTAAAGAATCACCCACATAAGCAATGGTTTTATCCTGCATTCTGAAATATAACCAAATTAGTATTTCCGTATTGACTCAAAGATGTAGCCAAACAGTGCAGCATACACCTTCTCAACCTTGTAGCTATTTGCACAGAGCATGTCTTACAACATAGAGGCCTCCACTGACCTGGTGCATAGGAAAATCAATAGAGTACTCAAATCGATATAATGAAAACTTGCTTTAGCATAGCTGCAAAAGGGTCTTATAAAAATGAAGAACATCAGAAAGTCCAAATTGATACCTGAACCATCTCTTCATCTTCAGCTTCTACTTTTGGAACATTTTCTTTTGAAAGAATGCGTATATTTGACATTCCTTTAAAGTAACCAACCGAAATTCCAAGAGTAGCGGTGTCTAAAATACAAATGATTTACATTTTCAGGAGACTTCTCCAAAAGAGAATAAGAACGCAGGCAAGTAAAACAAACCTGATTTACAAAAGGACAACATAAAACACATACAGAATACAGCAAGCATCACTTTATAAAATTTTAAATTATTGAATACCAACATAGCAAAAAAGATTTTAGGGATATCAAAATTTCATGTAAGCATGAAACTCAACTTAAAAAAAGCACCTCGTTTAAATTGCTTTTTCATCTTCCTTTCATTTTTTGCTTAGTCATCTTTTTTATAGATGGAGTACATGATGTAGAAATAGGATATAAAATTGTAGGACCTACTTGAGAGTCCTAGTTCCAAAACGATTGGTGATCAGTAACAAAAGGAGTGGAGGAATTTAGTCCTAAATCAGGTTCAGACAGAAGATGAATGACCGGAAAAAAGGTAAAGATTGAGAAAAAAAACTCCTGCTCGAGCTTAGTGACCCTTCCTTTCTCCTTTCCAAGGGGCACCAACGCATCAGGAGCGCCACCACAGCTCTGATGGTAGCTGCCGCCACCAAGGACGCCATGCGGAGTAAACATCACGCCATTGTGCTCCCAATTCCTTCACAGCTCATCCAGGAACCAAAGCTCCTCTCCCTCCCTACAACTCCAGAAGGCAAGAGAACACGCGGGTAGCAGCGCTCGCGGCCAAGGGAGGCGCGCCCCCAGCCAGGCCAGCAGCAGCCGCCGCCCCAGCTTTGGAAAAAATGAGAACTAGCGCATCAAGCTAAATAAAAGGCACAACATAATTTACTGGATATATACCTCAGCAAGTCAGCATCATATGATAGTCATCAAGTCTTGCAGGCAATAGACATAGAAAGGACCCAAATACCACTCTTCCTCCTGTTCTTTTTTAATGAATGCCTAATCTTAGTTGATGCATCTATTGCTTTTTTCTTCAAAGAGCCCATTCTTGCCTTCTTTTCTTCTTCAGAGACTTCAAAGTCTGACTTATGGTCTCTACGTTCATCATGACCTGAAATGTTGCAATGAAAATAACTAAATAAATAAGCCATGAAACTGAATCAGAAATTGCTCCTTATTCTACCCAGGAAAAAAAACTTCCAAGTCAACTCCTCCAAACTAATATTTCATCCTTTGAGATATTAGTTCAGTTGAATTGCCTTGTAGTTATGAGATGTGAAATGACACACCAAAAAAAGGGTGCATGTCAGCTTCTCGTGTATCAACAATTTGTCAAAGATTACAAAAACGAGCTGCACTCACCCCTATTGAATTTAGTGTCTGCTTCAATCACTCTCCTTGCTAAGAAGAGAGATATATAAACTGATAAAAATGTGACAGTGTAAGTAGGCTGGATAAACAATACATTTAACAATTTATTTAGCAACAATATTAAAAATATTACAGTATAAGTAGGCCGTTAAAAAATATATTTGACAATTTATTTAGCAACAATATCAAAATGGTAGACTTGACAACAACTATATGATACATTCGCCCAGGAGCATACAATCTTCTTGGATATTTAAATTTTCTCGTCTTGTCTAAATGTATCTCTCAAGCAGATGAGGAAAAGCAAGCGGGGCTACCTATCCAAAGCATAAAGGCCTGGTGAAAAACTCAAATCATACACACAGTTGTTGTTTTTCTTGAACAAGAGCAGAAATACATAAGAATTTGGTGAAAGTGAACGTGATCCAGTTACCAGAAGATAGACCCAAAAATGTACTCTAGCGGTGTCGGCATTCTTGGCAAAAAGTCTTCATGGAAGAGAGACCAAAAAGTAAGCCAAAAACTTCAAATGAGACTAAGATTTCATTAGTACCAGAGATGATAATTAGATTGACAACATAGGATTGGCTGAGTTCATAAAGGTTCATTTATTCATAATAAACAAGACAGCAACAGAGCAACAACCAACATTGGTAGTTGCAGACTCGCAGCACACAAATAGTATTTTAATATATTCAACTGCGCTATCTATGTTTCTTCAGAAATATAAACCATGCTCCCTGTCAACTCAAAACTTGCCTTGGGACCTTGGCGTCTAGTGTGGTGGCGGCTAATCCTGGACCAGAGTTTTCTTGATGCTTTCAGAGACTAATCCATGAAACCCAAGAAACTCGGCAACCTGCAGAATTTACTCCCGTTTTTAGATTATCAACATGCCAAAGAAGTTCGAACTTAATTAGATATGACAAATAAAGAATTAGCATGCATACTTATTATAGTAATCCAGAGCACTAAAATTCAGATCTTACAAAACTCATCGCATGGCGCTTGCATTCCCTCTCCGTGTCTCAAAACAAAGGTAGATTCAAAGTTTTCCCCAAATTTCAAAAACCCTAACATCGGCGGGGATCGAAAAACTCACAGCTAACACGTTATTTGAAGGCGGGTGTGTGCAGGCCGCATTTGGATCAGCGGCGCCACGGACGTCGAGAGGTCCTCCGTCGAAGAGACCATCGAGGCGCGTGCTGCCGCGAGGATCTTGCGTGGTGGTTGTATCACCTGCTGCCGCGGGGATCGGCGCAGCGCGGAGGGACGTGGCCTCGCCGTCCTAGGATCGCGGCGTGCCGGACGTCTTCCCGTCTCTGCAGGTCGCTCGGCTCGGCTGAGGTCGCCGCCACCGCTCGAGCATGGCCGCACCGGCCCTGGATTGTGGCGTGTCGGACGTCTTCCCGTCTCTGCATGAGGTCGCTCGGCTCGGCTGAGATCGCTCGGAGGCGGAGGATGTCGCGCTCGTCCTTGTACATCGCGGCGGAGGCGGAGCGGCTCGTCTGAGATCACTCGGAGGCGGATGATGTCGCTACTGGAGTCTTGTAGTCGCGACGGCGAGAGGAGGATGGCCGTCAGCGGCGCGGCGGGGGGTTTCGCGTTGAAGCGCTTTGAAGCAGCTGCGCAAGCGCGCGCGGAGGCGCAGAAGTGCGGTGCGTGTGTGATGAGGGGAGTGTGGACGCGTGAGAAGCCTAGCATCACACGTTAATAAGTGCCCATTAGATTTGGTTTAAATGTTTTATTAGTTCTTGTTTTAATGTAGACAAATTTCTGTATGTATTTTTATGGATGTATATGGTTGAAAGCTCTCAGCGGGGGACGTTTTTTTTTAGGAGACCTAATATAATTTTGATTGATCCATTATAGTAGAGTAAAATTGAAGAAACAATATTGGCCTATTAAAAGTTGACTTCACTCTAAGCAAGAAAAAAGCCCTACTACTTCTACAAAAGCACACTATATTAAGCCCTTGGGAGGTCACACCAAGCAAGTCCTTAAAGGATTCCCATGATAGAAAAGCATGCTAAGGGCATGTTCGGGAAAAATTCCCCTGTTCTTGTGTTTCTCTCTGAAATTAAACTTATTCCTTCCTGGGTTCTAAATAGGCCCTAAGCAAATTTAACTTATAAACTTCGAAAATTCGACAATAGAAGGAAACAAATGAAACCCCATCGCTCCAAACATGCCCTGAGCAAATTTAATTTTCGAGATTTCTTGTAGGTCATTATAATATATCCGAACAAATGAAAAGATGAGCAATGGGCAAAGAAAGTAAAGAGAGGATAGCCAACTTTAATTTTGAAGAGAATTCATTGTAGGCCATTATAAAAGATCCGATTTCCTTGGCTTCCGATGAAAAACTTCATGTGTCGTCTGGACCATTCAAACTTCAAACAATTTTATTCATATTCAACACCACGTAACACCACTGACAAAAGATTTGAGTCATTTCCGTTAGTGATTAAAAACGTTACTGTGGACGCCGATGTCAGAAAGGAAAAGATCTAATAAATTAAAATGTTCTCTCTTGTTCAAAGTTATTACCACCGTCGCCTCAAATGTCTCCACTCTCACAACTAAAATCGCACTCCGTCTCTCTCTCGCTCTCGGCGCCCACCATCACCCGATTGATCCAGTTCCACCATGGACGCTTCTTTGAAGTACTCTTCTAGCTCTCTATCCTCCATAGTGTGCTGCTTCGCCCTAGGGTCCGCGGCCTCCACGTGCCAATCACCGCGCGCTGAGGAAGGAGCTGGCATGACTAAAGATAGACTCAAGAAGTAGCGATGCCGAGCGCAGTCATAATATCTTTAGCCACGGCCGCGGCCGTCTTTGCAGTATGCCATGCGGCAATTGAGAATATCCTCCTCATCATATGTGGCACAACTGGCCACCTTCAAAATCCTCCGATCCTCGGACGTCACACGAGGACACAATAGATCCCTGATGCACTTGAAGGACCGGTGCCTCCAAAAATTTTGCCCCATCTGCTTTCTCTTACTCGAGTCCGGCATGGATGGATGGTTCTAGCCGACCTAGCGCCAAACTTAGATTCATACTTGTCATAGAGTTTATGCAACTCAGGGTAACCTCGGGACGCGTCAATGGAACTCATATTGTTACTTGGAGCAAGCAAGTCAAGCGCTTTCCCAGGCCCTTTCAACTTAGCCAGTGACACAAAAGGCGATATTCCCAGGCTTCCACAACGGCAGCAAGGGTGCTCATGAAATTCATGCCGGGTGGGATGCGTGGCACAACTCGACGTGGCGTCCCTGCCGCTGTACGGCCCGGAGCAGCAGCAGCACAAGGACGCCGCCGCCGAGCCGAGCGGAGGTCTGCGCGACGGCGGCGTTGAGCCCCCTGGCGAGGCCGTGCACGACACCGTAGCTGCGGTTGCCAAGCCCGATACAGCCGAAGAGGAGCAGGCCGTGCACGACGCTCGTGCGCCGACCTCCTCCTGCTGCGGTGGCCCGCCGCCCCAACCCTCCCCTTCGCAAGCGCGGGAGACGGAGAAGGTGACGGTGCGCTCTGCTTCGGCGCCTCGTCGGCGGACTCTAGCTTTGGCACCGGCTCGTCGGCGGACTCCGGCTTCGGCAACAGCTACTGCAGGCGCGTGGGACGTGGACCGCCAGTGCGTGCGGAATGGGGACAGCGAGCGCGCTGTCCGGCACATGGAGCGGCTCCGGATGCGGCCGCAGTCGTCCGTCGCCTCCTCCGCCTGCTCGAAGAAGATAGGATGAAGAAGAAAAGCTGACGCGTGAGGTCCACCTGTAACAGGGGCAAAGGGGACATTTCAAGCTCCTGTTAACCGCTGTTACTAGAAAAGCTGACGGTAGTGGTCTGGAGCGGTTGAAAAAATCAAAGCGAAGGTCGAGAGGAAAGATGATCTTTTTCGGTGGCTAACGAAAAAGTTACATCTTTTCTGGTGGCTTACAGGAACTGTGTCTTAATTTTTCCCGTGGTGTCAAAGTAGGTCAGTAGCTGCCGGCACCCATTAATCGACACTGGAGACTGAACTTAAAAGGGGGACACCGAGTGAGAAGAGACGCGATGATCCTAAAAACAATTAATGGATCAACAGAAAAAACAACAAACCCAGAGGTTGCTTGGATCTGATGACCTCACCAAAAGTGCAGCGAGTTGTGGCGTCGGTGTGGTTTCTTGGACCTACATTCTGTGGCAGGATTTCTGCTGTAAAAGGCTGTGCCTACCTCGTTTAAAGCACCAACCAAGCAAAGCGTTTTAATTCTCGTGGCGAGCCAGAACTATGACGTGGCGGCCTGTGGCCGTCAACGAAATAGCCTCCCCGTCTTTTTTTTTCTTCGGCCCACGAGTTGCGGGGCTGAACTGGAACTGACAGGACAGCATGTGGGCTTCATGGGCCCCTTCCGATGGAGCCCTGAACGCTATGTTGCCGGTGAGCGTCTGAATTAGGAACGGACCCAACCGCCCCCCCGGTGGGCCCCTTCCTTGATTTTCTTTGCCATGACGATTTGGTTACTTAATTAGACTGAACAGATTGCATATTTGAATTTTTCTACAAACAATGATCTGATGGTGTCCATGGATGTACTGTGTAGTAGGAGTACATGTGTTTGACAGGTGTAGCGAATTTAAATCCTCACGTCCTACACCCTACTGAATTATGGAACATGCAGCCAGCTTTGGCGCAACATGGATGCCTCTTTCTCCTGCAAGGCTGCAAGAGGGGCTGCCATTTGTTAATTTATTTTAATTGACGACGCCCTCGGCTTATTCTACTCAATCGTTGCTCACGATTCGTTTAAAACTCCCCCGGCGCTTGTCACTCCCAAATTCTGACATTTCCATATGGAGCAACTGGATCGATCACTGTGAGGCCATTATCGTGCGTGAGAGCAGCTGCATCACTTAATCAGAATCCCAATGTCTGAATTCGTTTTTGTCATGCCAATGTATAGACAGAGTTGCACGCAGCACCAAGAATAAAAAACATCCATCCATCTCATCTATAGCTAGGCCTTGTTTAGATTATCTCAAAATTCCAAGTTTTTTCACTTTCTCTCCATCACATCAATTTTTGGACGCATGTATGGAACATTAAATGTAGGTAAAAAAATAACTAATTACAATTTGCAAGATCCTTTTGAGCCTGGTTAGTCCACCTGTACTTCCATTCCATCGTCTTCAATAGTCAAGATCCCCTGTCCACCTGTACTTCCATTCCATCGTCTTCGTGTCCCCCCACCACTCTGCCAACCTACGTGAACGCCACCTCCACCCATCGGCCATGGCCACTCCGCACTCGGCATCAATTCACCATCATATATAATCATCGTGCAACAACCACTGCACTCCGGCCTCTGAATCACCGGCGGCATCCAACGATCGATCGATCACACACCAGCTGAAATCATCATTGCGCTCGCTCGATCGATCAATTGCAATGTCGTTGTGCTGCGTAGAGTGCAAGCCATGCAACGGCCACTGCCTGCCGGGGCCGCTCTTCAAGAGCCGGCGCCCCGCGCAGCTGCTCCGCCGCGCGCTCGGCAAGATGAAGGTGGGAGGCACCCGCAGGCGGCCCCGCCGCCCCGGGAGCTTCAGATCCGTCCGCGCGGTGTTCTGGCCGCTCATGTCCATGCGCTCCGAGGCCGACGCACGGAACGACGACACCCGCCCGCCGACGGACTCCTCCCCCGACGTCACCGTCAGCAGCGGCGGGGCGCGCGCACCGTCGACGACGACGGCCGCGCGGGTGCTCGCGCTGCAGGCCCGGCTCGGCGGCGAGGGCGAGGCGGCGGCAGGTGACGAGGCGAAAGCCATCGTCGTCAGGCACGGCGGCGACGTGGAGGCGGCGTGCAGGAGCTTCGAGAGGCACCTGATGGAGATGCTGGTGGAGGAGCGGAAGGTGATGGACCTGACGGACGTGGAGGAGCTGCTCTGCTGCTGGGAGCAGCTGACGTGCCCGGCGTTCGTGCGCCTGGTGGGCCGCTTCTACGGCGAGGTCTGCATGGACCTCTTCTCCTCGGCCCAAGACGCCGACGACGTGTGGTCCTCCCACCAGTCAGAGGACCTGAGCGTCTGACGTCTGAGTCTCACATGGGCAACCAATCGGACCAAAAAAGTCCTTTCTGCCATGAGCCCATGACACACCAAAGCTACTGTTTGAGCTGTCGTGTTGTTGTTTTCCTATTGTGTGCGTCATGCATGTTTCTTCCAGTAGCAGTAGCAAATTTTGTTGGTTTTCTTCTTGTTCTTGAAACTTTTCAAGTGGAGTCACACACACACAAAAAAAAAATAAACTTTTCAAGTGAGAAAACGGCGTTGCTTTGTGAATTTTGTAGCCGCACTTTGTGCAGACCCAAAACTGACAGAAAAGCAGCAGTTGGTGCAAGGTTTTACCCAAGAATATGACAGCCGCTGGCTGCATCAATTGTATCTACATATATAAATCCGAGAACCTAATCTATGATATGATAGCGTCATCTCCAACCTAGCAAACCTGGACCGATGCGAATGGATATATGCATACTACATGACATGCTAGTAGTAGTCCACTAGTTGATATTTTTGTTGCTGTCTGTGTCTGATTTGTCACTCTAGGTAACCTTTGTTATCCGGTGGAAAAGTTGCAGCGGCATTATCCGCTTATCTGGAACCACTTTCATCGTTGCGGTGCCCTAGGCAGGTCTCAGCAATTAACAACTACTCCTTCCTAGAACGTGCGATCCATGTTGGCTGTAGAGCAGAAGCTCATGAAGCTGTAGGGATCAATCCATCACTGTGGTCTTCCTCTCCGCTGACCCTCCTTTTCTATGTGTTGTCTATTACAGCAAGTTGGATTCTGGCATCGATACCAGACACTGGGCCTGTTTGGTTCCGCAACTCACGAACGCCTTTTCTATGTGTTTTGTCCATTACAACAAGTTCATCTTGGTCGCAATTGTTTAAGCGGAATTCTTTGGCTTATGTCGATCGTAACGCGCAGATACGCGGAACCAAACACGCCCACTAGGTGGTTGGATTGAGCGGCCCAGGGGCCCAGCCCAGTAGGACGGTGATGCCATAGGCTTTTCAATTTATCCCAACACTCTATTTCTACCCCAGCTTCTCTCCTCTGTCTTTGGAAGAATGTTATTCTCACTTTCCGAGAAGTCAAGCAATTTCAAACTTGACCAAATATATGTAAGAGAATATTATTATTTATGGTACATAATTAGTATCATTAGATAAATCATTGAAATATATTTCCTATAATAAACTTATTTAGAGATACAAATATTGTTAATATTTTTTTTATAAATCTAGTCAAACTTAAGAGATTGACCGGCACGAATCCCATAGCGATACTCTTTTAGGGATGGAGGAAGTATGTTCTTCTTGCCCCATTCTTCTTCAACCCCATCTTCTCCACTGGAATGCAGTCACTTTTTCTCCACTATTGCCTTTGCAGTATTGATCCCAATTGCTGTCCGGGAAAAGGAACCCATGAACTACCCCTTGGACATATGACCATGAGTTAAATACATTAGCGGCCTCTAAACTTGTCAAGAGATGTCACTTAGGTTCACGAACTTTGAAAACATATTGTTGAGTCCATAAACTTGTTAAATGGTGCATCGCACATCCCCAAACTTGTAAAACGGTGCACCACTTAACAAGTTTAAGGACATAGAAATGCATTTTTGAAGTTTGTGGATATAAATGATATCCTTTGGCAAGTTAAGAGGCCGCTCATGCATTTAACTCTATAAGCATTGTACTTACGGCTCTGCAAAACTCATAAAATTAGATGGTGTCTATCACCAGTGGCAGAGGGAAGAAGGGGCCAAACCCCCTAAGTTAATGTTTTTTTTTTCATTGAAAACTTTTAAATTCAACCACATTTTACTACAATTTCTACCATTGGCTTCCTTAACAAATAAAATTCACATTTTTTTACTCCGCTATCGTCTGTCATTTTCGTGCAATTGTACAATTGTTGCAACTGCATCCAGAGATTAACAAATTGTACAAGGGCAGTGCGAGTGCTTATCCACCGTAAGGCCTTCCTCAGTGGATAATTTTCATAGAATACAATAAAATATGGATAAAACAATCACTCTTAATAATGTATAGATTCATTGTTTTATTTCATAAACATTTAATCATGTGACTCACCTACAGGTGGAAACCAAACCAAGAAAGCTTCGTCTACATGAAACTCACATCTTCTCTCTGTTCTTAAAAACATTATAAAAAATATTTATGTGGCAGCCTATTAAATGCATATGAATTTTTTATGGAACTCCCACTAAGACTGACGGTGCACATCTATTTGTGTTCCTACAACGTCGTGCATCTATTTATCTTATAGCATCTCCAGTACTACTACCTAAAACAGACCCCCCCACTTTTCTATTTAGATAGCCACCTACATTTAGGGGCTCTGTTTTCCGTTGCTATCTTCAGCAAGACTACATAAAACGAGGCTCTCAAATTCATTCCAGTAGAGAATGACACGTGGGATCCGCATGTTATCCTCTTTCCTATCCTCATCGCCATTGACAAACACGGTCATCTCACGAGGGCATCACGCTAGGAAGGTCGGCCCTGCACCAGGAGCTTCGCCCGCTGAGAGGTCTACCTGCGTGACACCATAGGAGGATGGGCAGCGGCGCCAACGGTGACTGGGCATCGGAAGATATGGAGATGCCGGCGGGCTTCCGGATCCGGCCGAGGGAAGGTCCACGGCAAGGAAGCATCCTGTGGTGGACGGGAGGGAGGGCGGCGGCGTGTGGGAGTTAGGTGTGCAGGTGGAAAACCACTGGACTAGAATATAGGTGGGCCCAATAGAAATGGGTAGTGGAACGGAGGATTTGGGAACCAACAAATTTGGATGGCCAAAAGTAGAGTAGGGAGGGATATTGGAGGCACGTTGGATAGTCCGGGTAAAGTAGAGTAGGAGGGATATTTAATTTGAGGCATGTAAGGACTGGTTGATTGCCTTGCCTCGCCCGCTGTCATCAGGTTAGTTGCAGCTCTGGGAGACTGGGACTTGTGACCTCGGCAAACGGATCGGAAGCCATATGCATCTGGAGATGGTATATACCACTACTTGTCGACCGGAGACGACGTCACTAATTGCATGCGGCCAGATCGATCGAGATGGTATATATATACTACTTGAGACCTTGACTATTGTCCAATGCAAAGTTTGGCGCAGGCCAACCGCCGGCGGCGGCGGCGCGGCGTTGCAGCTTCTGGAAACGAGCGACGAGAGGGCCTCCAGAAAAGAAATTGGGCTGTGACTCGTGAGCTGAATAAATTAAGGTGCAGATTGGTTGGGGCTGGCTGCCGTCTACTTGAGGCTTGACACTGTGCAAGTCCAAACTTTTGGACCTGCATAGGCCTGAGCCGAGCACTCCTGCATGCCGTTGATCGCGCGAGCTCGAGGCATCGAGAGCGCCACATCGATATGATCCACATGGTGAAGATAGAGACGGAGATGGAGAGAGAGGTAGACAAATAGAGTGTGCAGTGCAGCAGATAATCAAGTGTAGCTGATTTGCAGGGAAGAAGAAGAAGAAGAAGATATGATGATGAATTCCCTCAAATGCGTGCGTTCGTACAACTCAGAAATAACGACGCCACGAATTGAATTTTTGTCTCCAAATTAATTAAACACGCTGCCTGCCTATCGATCATAGTTAGAATATATATAATCGCTTGCATGCATGCATGCATTGCATGAAAACGAGGAGAGGGCATGGCAATGGCAAAATAGGCAGACGTGACGTGCATATGAACAAACAGCGACGAACAACCGTCGTTTTCCCCCCACACCGCACATGCATGCATGTGCGAACCACTGCCGATGGACGTACGTGCAGTGCAGTGCAGTGCAGTGCGCATGATCCCGGTCGGCACGAGGACGTAAGTACGTACGCTGAGCACGCAGGTCGGCATATGCATGCAATATGCGGATTATTGCGGACTCTGTCATGTAATATAATATATTTTAAAAATTTTAAGACAAATTAAGATAGAACATAAAAGATATATATACTCTTTTCACTTCCTATTCATATGGTATCATCAACATGATTAATGTGATTGGTTGATAAATAGAAAATATTTAATGTAAAATTGATTTTTATTGTTTAAAATATATTATATTTGAAAATAAATTTTAAATTCTAGAATACACTGTATTGTATTACAGAACGGAGCTAGCTACGAGCTACTCGGTCGACCCCGAACCCCGGCCCGGCCAGCCACCATGCAACATGCCAACATGCATGGGGCACGTATGTCATATGCATGCACCGATGCACGGCACGGTGGGTCGGTCAGTCGGGGACCCCGGCCTGGAATCCTGCAGCGTGCCGGTCTTTCTCTTTCGTTGCAGTGGAGCATGCATGCATCCAGAGGCAGCGCCGAAAGGCCCCAAAGACCCGAAAGCGACATGCATGCTCTTGTTACGGCACGTTACCATGTGCGCCGCGCGGTACCTAGCTAGCTACTAGTGCGCGTCGTCCCCACGCCACGATGGACGATGACAAGATATATAAGCATCAACGACCAGAGTACACACACACATATACTGCGCGGTAAACAAATATAAAAGGTGACAGTCACAGGATCGCTATATGACGCCGTTCACGTAGCAATCTAGCTAGCAGCGCTTTGTCAATAATGTGGTCACGACCACCCCGTCGACGTCCAGGTGATGAGCCGCAAATTAATAAAGTGACGATGAAGGCAACACCGATTCTTGGAAGGCCCAGCCTTGTCTGCCGGTCTATTCTTATTTTTCAATCCACCCTGTTTACACTGGACATTGTGTATGTATTATACCCACACATATCTTACCATACAAGCACACTTTCGAAAAACAAATTGAACCGATACACAGACCAAAAAATGATATCCAACCTAAGACAAACTAGATGTTTCATTTATTATTTATTAAGAAAAAAAATAGACATCCAAATGCAATCCATAAGAGGACTTGAACCTGGTTAGATTTAGGATATGTCTAGGTGACATTCAGTTGTTTTGGCCTCTCCTGTCAACTGAATTTTTTTCATGCACTTACACCGT